ACTCCTGGCCGTATTACAGATCATATTAAGCGTAAGGCCTTGATTACTCACAATATTAATACTCTTGTGTTGGATGAAACAGATCTCATGCTTGATATGGGCTTTGGCATTCAGATTGAAGAAATTGTTAAGCATCTGCCAAAAACCAGGCAGACTCTCATGTTTTCTGCAACTCTTCCTAGTAATATAGTCAAGCTTGCTGAAAGATATCTCAATAATCCGGAGCGTGTTTCTGTTGAGAGTAAAACTGTGACTTCTACAAAAATAAAGCAAGAAATTATCTATGCATCAGAACCAGAAAAATATAGAAAGCTTGTGGAGCAATTGTGTCAGCGCGAAGGGTCTGTCATTATTTTTGTAAAAACAAAACGAGGTGCAGATCAGTTGGCTAGTGAGTTACATAAAGATGATTATAGTGCTTTAGCAATTCATGGGGATTTAAGACAACATAAACGTGACAAAGTGATTAACTCTTTTCGTCGTGGTAACAATCAAATTATGGTTGCAACTGATGTAGCCTCTCGTGGTCTTGATATTCCTCACATTCAACACGTCATTAATTATGATGCACCACAGTCACAAGCTGATTATATCCATCGTATTGGCAGAACTGCCCGCGCTGGAGCTGAAGGGTTCGCATTATCTTTCATTACGCCTCAAGATAAGAGAAAGCTACCTGCACTTACAAGCAAAGAAGGAGAACTAAATTTTGATTGTAAAACACCGTTTAAGAAACCTGAGGGTAGAAAAGTCTATAAAACACTAAGCATGCTAAAAAAGATTAAAAACAGCAAAAAAAGGGGCGGTCTTTCTAAAAAGAAGAAAGGTAAAGCGTTTAACGCTTTTTCCATTACGCCTTCTTACTCATTAATATGAAGTTGATTCTATTCGTACTATTTTGTATTTTACCAATTATAGAAACAGCAGGCCACGCTTCTTTGAACTCCGTTTATAGTGAGAAATTTTTAGGGGAGCATAGTGCTCAAGCGCATTTGAGAAATATATCGACAACATCAGAAATCAGGATTCGCAAGAAATCTAATGAGTCAGTAGAAACCTACTTAACATCAGCGAAAATCTTACTGATATCAACTAATATAAAATCTTCTTTTTTTGCAACGGGAGTTGAGCAAGGATTGGCACCAAATACAGTGATGAGATTAATTGATATATATAAAAATTTAGATGTAAATTTTAAAAAAGACATCACACCTGAAAGCAAGTTAGAAGTTTTACTTGAAAGATCTTCTGAGCATAAAAATAGTAAAGAAAAGATTTTATACACTTCACTAACAATTCATAACAAAATTATTAATTTATACTACTATAAGTCGCAGGATGGCAAGGAAGGATATTTTGATAAAGAAGGACTCAGTCTGAAAAATAATACTTTTTTTATCAAACCTTTAAATGGAAATTATCGTATATCTTCAAAGTTTGGTAATAGAAAACACCCTATTCGCGGTCATACTGCTTTTCATAAAGGAGTAGACTATGCAACCAAATTTGGCACTCCTATATACGCTACTGCAGATGGCATTATAGATTATATAGGATATAATGGTGGTTATGGTAAGTACATAAGAATAAAACACAAAGATGACTATACAACTTGTTATGCACACATCAGCAAATTTAACAACAATATAAAATTAGGTTCTAAAGTAAAACAAGGGCAAGTTGTTGCCTATGTTGGTAGCACAGGTAATGCAACAGGACCTCATTTGCACTATGAAGTCATACATCATAGTAAACACATTGATCCACTCGTACTCGAGCGTAAAATAGAGATAAAATTGTCCGATCATGAGTTAACAAAATTTAAATTATTTATTGCTAAGGTAGATAAAGTAATAAATAATAGAGTTGATACAAAAACTTAAGTAGCATGGAAAATGGTATAATAAATGATAAGAAGCTAAATCACTCGAGTTTGTTTTCTATCCTAATATTAGGAATAACTGCATTACTCTTCATCTTTTCTTGTGTGACATACCAAAATATTATCGAGTACCCGTTATTCATAATGGTGGTTATCCTTTTTGGGTTTGCAGCATCTTTTGTTATTACAGGATTCTTTATTAATAACCCTAATGAAGCAAGAGTTATAGAGCTTTTAGGCTACTATATTGGCACTTATTTTGAATCAGGAGTATTCATTACAATTCCGTTTGCAAATAAACGTGTTGTCTCTTTGAAGTTTCAAAACATTAATACAGAAAAAATCAAAGTTAATGATGCAAATGGCAGCCCCATTGAAATTTCAGTGGTAATTGTCTGGAGAGTAGATAGTCCAGCAAAAGCATATTATAATGTTAATAATTACGAAGAATTCGTTGCTGTACAAAGCGAATCTGTAATAAGGGAATTGGCAAGCAATTATCCATACGATAGTGAGGATGATGGAGAGTCTTTACGCAAGAATTCAGACCAAATTGCAAGTGAATTACAGTCAATGCTGCAAAAGAGACTAGAGATGGCTGGTATTAACATTCTGGAAGCAAGAATATCGCACTTAGCATATTCGTCGGAAATTGCACAAGCAATGTTGAGACGTCAACAAGCACATGCCATCACTTCCGCAAGAAGGCTAATAGTACAAAATGCCATAGGGATTATTGAAGAAGTAATAGCTCATTTTAGCAAAAGTAAAGGTGTGAAATTTGATGAAAATCAAAAAGTCCAATTAATAAATAACTTATTGATTGCTCTAATCTCTGAGCAAGATGCACAGCCAACACTTAGTTTAGATAATTAAAGCTAGATTAGAAAAATTCCTTTCTTTGATTCAAAATAGGCTTATAATAAAAGGTATCTATGGGCACTGATATAGTAAAAGTTGAAGATAAAAAAGTGGTGAAAAGCTTTTTTAAAATATTTTCTGGGGTTGCAGATGCTGTAAGGTCGTGGACTGGTAGCATTAGTCCAGATTTAAGCAATAGCCAAGATATCAATACTCTCATTTCAAAGATGACTGAGTGTTTGAATCCAACAGGTGGTGAAGTTTCAGCACGAAAAAATACTGTGTCTCTTGGTAATTTATACTTAAGTTTATCAGAAAATGGTAAAATTAAATTCCTTCAAACTTTAGCAGAAGAATTTAACTCAAATAAGGAAGAAATAGATGATAAAATTGCAGAGTATAAGAAAAATCAAGATCCTGAATTAACTTACAAATTTGAACAAGATCTGATTAAAACTATTGAATCACCACGTTCCAAAATATTAAAGCAGTTTATCTCTTTACCAAATGGCCTGAAGTTCATTGTTGATATGCGTTCTGATGTGCTTAGGCTGAAAAATCAATATAAAATTTTAAATCCATTAGAAAAAGAACTAAAAAATATATTATGCACTTGGTTTGATGTCGATCTATTAGACCTGCATCAAATAACCTGGGATTCGCCTGCATCATTATTAGAAAGGCTAATAACGTATGAGGCGGTACACGAAATTTCTTCTTGGACCGACTTGAAAAATAGATTGGATCATGACCGTCTCTGTTTTGCTTTTTTTCATTATAAAATACCAACCGAACCCTTAATTTTTGTAGAAGTTGCATTAGTTAATGAAATTGCAAACAGTATTCAACATCTTTTAGATGAGTCAGTACCTTCAAATGATCCCAATGATGCAAGTATAGCCATATTTTATTCAATATCGAACACTCAAAAGGGGTTATCTGGCATTAGCCTTGGTAATTTTTTAATAAAAAGGGTCGTAGAAAAAACTATCACAAGAGTTTAAAAGCATAAAGAAATATGCAACTCTTTCGCCAATACCAGGATTTATAAAGTGGCTAAAAGAAAATTTGAATCAAGACGCTACTTTATTGGATAAATTACATATAGAACAAACTAGCGTGGAAATTTTACAAAACATAGAACAATTGCAAATTGATATTCAGTGTTCAAGTGAGATCAAACAATGCTTACTTAAGCTATGCACATACTATTTACTAAAGGCTAATGGCGGTGCTTGTGATCCAGTAGCACACTTTCACTTGAGTAATGGTGCATCGATAAAGCAACTAAACTGGATGGCAGATACTTCTGAAAAGGGCATTAAGCAATCCGCTGGAATAATGGTAAATTACTTATATGAATTATCTAAAATAGATAAAAATCACGAAAATTATATGCTTAATAAAGTGATTTCCTGCTCAAAGGAAGTATCATCTATATTAAAAGAATAACATTGTGTTTTATGCAGATTCCGCTAACAGCAGCGGAATCTTGATTTTGGCTAACTCTACACACTTTTTGGAGAGTGAGCTTGAGAGAGAGCTAGTTTCTCTGCTTTTAGCTCATCCATAATTGTTTTAATTTCAGGAAGCTCTTCATGACTTTTATATTTTAATACATATTCTTCTCTTTTACCGGAAACTTTATATTCATGTTCTTGATAAAGTGAGTATAGAAATCCAGCTCCAAAAATAACAATTGCTGCAAGCATCATATATTCAAGTGGTGTTTGTACCCTTTCCCTCAGATAAAAATATCGAGACAGTAGCATAAGAACGCAAGATCCTATTACTACTGCAATAGAACCAATTTTATTATGCGTGAAATACTTTTCATTGCGGCTTTGTTCATAATTTCTGTAAATAGTTGTGGCATGCTTTTGAAGATTCTTTTCATCCAGTACTGCGAGAAATGTTTTAAAATTATCATCACCAGTTTGCCGTATCCAATAATTTAACTGACTACTCATAATTTAACCTTCTATTAATAAAGATGATGCATTATGCATGATATTAATTATAAGTGTCAAGAATAGTAATGTTTTTGTTCTACTGAAAACTATAATATTAGACATAAATTAACTGACAAAAGATCTGATTTTTCCTTTTTAAAGCATCATTTTATCAAAATGTTTTTAACTCTTTCTCCGTTTTCTCTCGGAAATGCCAGATTTATATTGCATAAATTGCATTATTATTGTATACTTTAGAAATTAAGATTATTAGTTAAAAATTTAAATAAAATATTAGGCAGTATATGTTACAAGCTAATCCACTTGATAAACTATTAATTGATGCAGTAGAAAGTGCAGATATAGAAAAAGTCAAGCATTTATTAAACGAAGGAGCGAATCCTAATGCCATAAGATTAAACCAAAAAGAATACATTGTTAATCTTGTATTGGGTAAATCATTTCTTCCTCAGTTCGGCATTGCTCATGAAAGTAATCACATATCAGCTTTGGGTTATGCTATTAATCTTGCACACACGGAAATTGCTACGCTGCTTATTGACAACGGGGCAGACTTCAATGGTTATAGTCATTCTGCTGCTGAAATCACACATCTACATAATGCTTCTGCACTTGGTCGCATAGAGATAGTTAAGCTACTTCTAGGTTGTGATATAGATACTGGTGCTCGAAACATAGGCGGATATACAGCCTTACATTCGGCTGTCCGCTCTTTTGATTATTTTGGAGATGGAACAAAAATAGTAAAAGAAATAGTTAATTTGCTTCTTAATGGCAGAGTAGCAATTGATGCTCAAGATAAAGATGGAAAGACAGCTCTACATATTGCAGCTACATACAAGCGTGTAGAAATAACTGAACTGCTCCTTGATCGTGGAGCTGCAGATGTTAAAGATAGAGATGGCAATACCGCTCTACATGATGCTGCTACTTCTATATATAACAATGCAAAAACTGTAAGTTTGCTTTTAAAATATAATTTAGATGTTAACGCTAAGAATAAAGATGGTAAAACACCAATCAGTGCCGGATTAAAGAACAAGATTCTTCCTTCTGACCCTACTTTAAAAGCAGATGTTCTCTTTACTTTTTTAATTTACGGTGCCACCTTAAATGATGGTGATAGAGACAAGATAAATAAAGAACCTGACCTGCGAAATTGTTTAACAGCATTTGAAAAAATCAAAGCAATGCCTCATTGGGGTAATTTAATAGGAGTAAACGGGAATAGAAGTACAAGTACTATTGTTCAATATATAAATGATGAAAATAAAGGGCAGGAGCTGATTGAAGAATTCAAAAACATCAAAAAAGATTATAGTTCTCAGGAATTTATACATGAAAGCTTGTCAGGCTTTTTAGAATATGTATTAGAATATGTAATTTTAAAAAAATAATGATAGTGCTAGAAACTTGCGTTACTTTGCCGGTGTATTAAAAGAAGGAGAACGGACTAAGCTTCTTTCTGATGTAGCATCAAGTCGAATATTGTCATATATAACAAGTAATAGAGATCTAAATAATCTTAATTTAGCATATTTTAGTGATATCACTGGAAGCGAGTATGATAAATCAAAGACACCAGGGAACTTACAACTTAAGCAAGAGGCATTTGAAGAATATAAACAAAGTGAAGCAGCAGCAGCAAATGCATTACTTGATAAGCTAAAAAGTTGTAATAAAGAAAGTAATTTATTACAAAATGCGAATTCTTCACAGCCACATTTACAGATGCAGAAAGTTAGCCCAGAAGAAGACAATTTACTACAAAACGCAAATTCTTCACAATCCTTCTCTGCAAGTAAACAAGCAAAAAAGACTAGTCCAATAAAAAAAGCTATGTGTAGTACTATTCCTTTTATAGCAGTAGGAATTTACACTGCAGTAGTTTTATATTATGATACAACTCTTGATCCCATTATCGCTGCTGGCATTTTTATTGGAGCAGCAGTTTTTGTAGCTGCATGCTTTGCTGTAATGAAAATCTGTGAAAAAAAAGCAGAACTCAGACACAGGTACACGTATCGTTTCTGATAGTGACCTTGCTGCAAATTTCGTTTCGATGACCCATACTTATAAAATAAGTTAAATTAATTTGTTGTAACAACTGCACCATGACAATGCTTATATTTTTTCCCTGAATTACACGGGCATTTGTCATTTCTTGATACCTTAGGAAAGTTATTACTCTGTGTAGCGCGTAACCTGCTATTCATTTCATAATTATCTGCTAGTTTAAAGTGTGCTAAGCGATGGATAGTAAGTTCCTTCCATTTTTCAAGCATTGACTCAAACATTAAAAAAAGCTTCGCGTTTAAATTCATTTAGTGGATCCTTCTGTCCCATAGCACGTAAACCTATGCTCTGTCTTAAACTCTCTAAGGTTGAAAGGTGTTCTCGCCACAAATAATCAAGGGTCATTATCATCACTTGTTTTACTATTGTATTCCACAGATCAGTAATGTTCTGACTATTAAAATACTTCTCCCTTTCAGCAAAAAACTCTTGTACCTTATCATTTATATAGCTTAAAGCATCTTGTTTGTTCAAAAACTTTGCGAGAGATTCTTGATCAAACTTAATACCATACCTCTTATGAAGCTCACTTATTATACTTTCAATATGATCTTCATAATAGCTATCCTGCACCACGTTTTCTATTATATCTTCATTCACTTCACTATATACTTCAAGTAAATCATTAACTTCATTACCTAAGATATGGTTTCTCTGTTCAAAAATAACTTTACGTTGATTATTAATTACATCGTCAAACTTAAGTAAAGATTTGCGCACATCGTAATTTCTAGCCTCTACTTTTTTCTGTGCTTTTTCTAGAGCTTTATTAATCCAAGGATGATGAATAGCTTCATCATCTTTCAACCCTACCCTTTGTAAAAAGTTTCTCATTCTGTCCGAACCAAATATTCTTAGTAAATCATCCTCAAGCGATAAGAAAAATTTAGAAAGTCCAGGATCACCTTGTCTACCAGAACGTCCACGCAATTGATCATCTATCCTTCTACTCTCGTGTCTTTCGGTGCCAATAACACACAAACCACCAGCTTTGATTGCTATTTCTTTATCACTTTGCACCCTTTCAACTATTTCTTGATATTTCTTCTTTTTTTTCTCTTCATCTTTTATTTTACCAAGTTCTATTTTTGCAATCATTTCAGCATTGCCACCAAGCTGGATATCAGTTCCTCGTCCCGCCATATTGGTTGCAATAGTAATATTACCCGGCACTCCTGCTTGCGCAATTATGTAAGCTTCTTGTTCATGATAACGAGCATTTAAAACCGAATGTCTTAGGGAATGACGGTGTAAAAGTTCAGAAAGTTCTTCCGACTTTTCAATGCTTACTGTGCCAACAAGCACCGGCTGCAGACGCTCGTGACACTCTTTTATAAATTTCAATACAGAATTATATTTTTCTTTTTCTGTACCATAAATTTCATCATTCATATCCAGTCGCTTTACAAGTACATTGGTTGGGATTTTTACTACATTTAACCTATATATATCGCGAAACTCTTCTGCTTCTGTTGAAGCTGTTCCAGTCATACCAGAAAGTTTATTATACATACGAAAGTAATTTTGAAACGTTACTGAAGCTAAAGTTTGATTTTCATATTGAATTTCAAGATTTTCCTTAGCTTCAAGTGCCTGGTGAAGACCGTCAGAATATCTTCTACCCTCCATCATCCGTCCAGTGAATTCATCGATAATTATTACCCTACCTTCTTTTACAATATAATCTTTATCAATCGTAAACAGTTTTTTGCGCACGTAATGCCTGATCTATATAGTGAGTCATTATCATGTTATTAGTGTCGTAAAGTGAAGAATTTCCTGCAATGAGATTATACGATTTTAACAGTTCTTCTACACGTGAAATGCCATCTTCAGTTAAAAACACTGTTCTATTCTTTTCATCTAGTTCATAGTCAGCATCCTCTAACTTGGTGACTATTTTATTAATATATTTATATATCTGATTATCTTCCTCAATTTGACCAGAAATAATCAGCGGAGTACGAGCTTCATCAATTAAAATAGAGTCCACTTCATCTACTATTGCATAATTAAAGTTTCTTTGAACCATATCACTTTGAGAAAATTTCATATTATCTCGCAAGTAGTCAAAAGCTAGTTCATTGTTTGTTGAATATACGATATCAGCACTATAAGCTTCCTTCCTTTCTTCATCTGTCAAATTGTTGGTAATAAACGCAACAGATACACCCAAAGAATTATATAGCTTACTCATCCATTCTGTATCTCTCTTTGCAAGATAATCGTTGACAGTTACTACGTGCACTCCTTTACCATCCAAAGAGTTAAGGTATGCAGCTAAGGTTGCAACAAGTGTTTTCCCCTCCCCTGTTTTCATTTCTGCTATCATACCATTATGAAGTACCATGCCCCCAATGAGTTGAACATCAAAGTGTCTCATATTAAGAAATCTTCTAGATGCTTCACGCACAACAGCAAATGCAGGCACAAGTATGTCGTTTAATGTTTCTCCATCTTTTAGCCTTTGCTTAAATTCTTGAGTTTTATTCAACAAATCTTGATCTGATAAACTTTGAATCTCTGGCTCTAATGCATTGATTTGCTTAACAATTTTTCTGAAGGACTTCATTATTCTCGTTGATCCAGATATTCTTTTTTATAACAAAAAGTGATAATGTAAAAATAGAAGATATAATGATAGCTATTAAAACAATAGTAAGATTTAGCATGACTGAATAGTACTTACTTAATTCGTAATTATATTACTAAATGTAGTTCGCGGCAATGATATATTTGGATCAAGTAAAGATTGCAACTACTTGTTTTATTAGTATAATCACTGAAGTTTATATGAATATGTTTGAGATGGTAGAGAAAGAAGATCAATTTAGCTTTACATCAATAAACCTAAAAAAAAGCAAAAGGGTTTATGAAAATGTACCCAAAAGGTAAAGAGGGCGGCGCCGTTATGCAATTATTATATCTGGTCCAAGAGCAGGTTGGATGGATACCTGAACTTGCCATGCGTTACGTTGCTGACTTATTGAATGTTCCACACATGCGTGTATATGAAGTAGCAAATTTCTATACTATGTATAACATGAATCCAGTGGGTAAATATTTAATACAAGTCTGCAGAACTACACCTTGTTGGCTGTGTAATAGTGAAGAAATTCTAGATGCCTTCAAAAAGAAACTAGGAATTAATATTGGTGAAACCACTAAGGATAATCTATTTACTCTCATAGAAGTTGAATGCCTTGGTGTATGTGTTAATGCTCCTGTAGTGCAAATCAACAACGATTTCTATGAAAATCTTACTCCTGAAAAAGTGGAAGACATCATAACAAAGCTTTCCAATGAGTAGTCCCCATAAGATAGCTAATCGATCTCTTTCGCAACCTATTTACGATGAAAAATGTTTTGCATTTTCAGTACATAAGCAATCTGGTTCCGCAAGAGTAGGAACAATTCAAACTCCACATGGTGATATAAAAACACCAGCTTTTATATTTTGTGCAACAAAAGCTGCAATTAAAGCTGCAGATATAGAAAGAATCAATGAAGCAGGCACTCAAATAATACTTTCTAATACTTATCACTTGATGCTTCAACCAGGAGAGGATACTGTTGCCAAACTCGGTGGCCTACATAAAATGATGGGCTGGAATAAACCAATGTTAACTGATTCAGGTGGATATCAGATATTTAGTTTAGGCCATGGATCAGTTTCAGATGAAATAAAAGGAGTAAGAAGCAAGCAAAAAACATTGATAAAAATTAATGAAGATGGGGCAATTTTCCGTTCGTATATTAATGGCAAAATTTACTGCTTAACACCTGAAAAATCTATACAAATTCAGCAAAAATTGGTAGCAGATTTAATTGTAGTGTTAGATGAATGCACTCCTTTTCATGTAAGTAAAGAATATACTGAGAGGTCAATGCTCATGAGCCACAAATGGGCTGAACGCTGTTTAACTGAACTTGAAAAAAATAACTGTAATAGACAAGCCCTATATGGCATTAGTCAGGGAGGAATATATCAGGATCTGCGTAGAGAAAGTTGTAATTTCATCAACAGCCTACCATTTTTCGGTCAAGCGATAGGTGGATCACTCGGTCAGAATAAACAGCAGATGTATGACGTTGTTTCTTTTACCATAGAACACTTGAAAAAAAGATAGACCTACTCATCTGCTTGGAATTGGTGGAATTGTAGACATCTTTCATGGGGTAAACTTAGGAATTGATACGTTCGATTGCGTTCATCCAACTCGGTTAGCAAGGCATGGCGGAGCATTAGTAAAGATAAAGAATAGAAATTCCCTCTCTTCACAATGCAAAGAGCATATTAACTTACGAAATCAACAATTTGAGCTAGATGAAAATCCAATTGAAAGTGATTGCTCATGTTTTACTTGCCAAAGACACTCAAAAGCTTATATACATCATTTATTAAAAGCAAGAGAACTATTAGCTTATACATTGATTACTATTCATAATGTCTTTTTTATGAATAAGTTAATGGAAGCAATAAGACAAGCTATATTAGAAGATAGGCTAGATCAAGAAAGAAGTAATTGGGTATAATATCTAAATAATTAATACAGTTAGTTACTCTTTACTATTTCTTCACTAAAGCGTGCATAATTACATCTAAGTTAGATATGGAGGATTTTATTGCAATGACTAAAAAACAGAAAGTAACAAAAGAACCTATAGATCCAACAAACCTAAAGGTTACAGGAACACTCAATAAAGAGAATGAAAAAATAAAAAAAAAGTGGGGGAATTAAAAACATATTTAAATTTAAAGGTTTTCATCAGGGTTCAAAACAAACAAATCAAGTAACAAAATCACCTATGGCTCCAACAAACCTAAATGTTACAGGGGTAATAGATAAAGAGGATCATGGAGCAGCACAAACAAATCAAGTAATAGAAGCACCTGTAAATCCTATAGAAATGGGTGAAAATGGAACAGCAAAAAAAAAAATTGGGAACTATAACAA